TATCTATCTATCTATCTAGCCAACTAACATATCCTGAGTAACTTTATCCAGTGCCGGCTGCCTCACAGCGCCAGCCAACAAAGTAACCGGCGAAAGGCAGGCCAGCCAGATCATCCCTGGGAGTCTGGATGTAGCTAGCTGATCACCTAGCACTTTGTCTTACACTTGGAGCCCCTAAAGGGTCTTTTGCAGTTCATAATTATCAAAAAAGCTGCATTAAATCTGATTAAATGTTGTTGAATCAGGGGGGTGAATACAGTGTCAGTCAACCACATATAAAATGGTGCTGATTGAACCCACAAAGCGCAGCTCCTTCTCACAACCCTTTCTTCCCCTCAGCCACCTTGCACGGCAACAACACGGGTGAGGAAAAGCACAGTTGGCCCGGCCCAGAATAAACCAGGTTACTCCTTCAGGGACCTGGGGAAGAGTTGAAGTGGCAGACCTAGTTACTCCCACTCATCTTCTGATTGTGCGATGGCTGCTGCTCATCAGGAGTCCGATGGAGAGTGACAGAGTGTAGATTGAATATGCGTAGAGGGTTATGAAGCAGCTAAATAATGTCTCATTACTTGCATATTAGGTAGAACATTAATCCAACATTAGTCTTTCTTGCCTGTATATAGTATTTTGCCTTTATCGAGCATAGCGCCTGTAATTACATTTCACTGTGAGAGGGATAATGTGAGTGCTGCTCCTTGGGCCAAAGCATGGTAAAATAGAATAAATAAAATAGATGACAGGAAGATGAGGGGAAAAGAGAAAAATTAAATCTCAAAAAGAAATGACCACATGATAAGCCCTGCATGATAGTATAATGTAATATGAAATACACCCACCACGACCCTCCTCTCTGCCTCTGGGGGGTTTTTCTGTCGAGGTGTCAGCAATTTTCCTCTATTAGGCTACACACAGCTCCCTTCTGTACCAATGCAGTCTGTGTAATTAAAGTCAGTTTTTTTATATTTCTCTTCTGCACTGTTTCCTCCTAAACTGGGTTAATATGGAAATAAGGGTAGAGATCGCCATTTGCTTCTCTAACATGCTGCAAATCCAAAGACTACTGACTACCCTCTCACTATTAAAGATTACCCCTTTCACAGATGTCTTTAAACCAATTTTAAAACAATGCTTGTATGCTAAAATGTGGCTACAGCTAGCAGCCGGTTGTCTTCCTGGGCAACACAGGAAACCTGGTTCTGTAACAAAAAACTCCACATCTAAAGCTCATCTCTGCTAAGCTAAGCTAACTGGCTGCTAGTGGTAGCTTTAAATTTACCATACAGATGCAAGAGTGGTATCAATTGTATCCAACTCTTTCTTTAAGGCCCATCTTCTTTCTTCAGCTTGTTGATATTCATTTAAAAACAAACTTTCTATTTTTATTCAGAATTATTGATTTGAATGTTTTATTTATACATTTCTTTGTGAACAATTTTCACTGTTATTTTTGACTGTAGATGTCATCCCTCTGTAAAGCATTGAGGTGGACATTTATCAATTAGTCAACTGACAGAAAATTACTTTTTTTACATATTAATAAATAGTAAATTGAAAGTTTTTGGCTTTTGGACTGTTGATTGGCAAAACACTGTAATTTGTGGATGTCAGCTTGAGTTCTAGGGAACTACAATTGGCATTATTGTTTTTACAATTTTCTGACATTTTCAGTCAAAATGTATTAAAATCATTTTCAGATGAATCAATAATGAAAGCCCTGGTAAATTTACTTGACTTCTGTATGAGAATAGATATCTAGCTATGTTATTACCTCCCATTACGTTTCTGTTAGCTTAACAGAAACATAAAACATAATGTTATTTTAGATAATTATCATCCTCCTCTTTTTATTGACATACTAGTATTCAAACTAGTACTTGTCTTGTATGTTACTATATACCATTTACTATAAGTCACAACATGTTTTGCATGCAACTCTATTGTCTGCCAACAAGCAAGTGTTCCCTTTACCGGCTTCATCTTTGTTTGTGAAATTGATTGTATGATGAATCTGCAGAAAGTAAATGGAGTGAGCAAAACTCAGTCAAACAAAACAAACAACCGCAAAGCGCAGGCATTTAATCATTATACTCGGGAGGCCAAAAACAAACATGAACTGGGATAGGTGTGGAACCCCACTATGCATCTAAGCACACTATGTTCGCCTGAACCGCCGCTCCCGTGTAGAAACTGTCCACTACGGGAGAATACATTAACCTTTCACGGTGTCTCTATCGTGAAGATGATCCTCCATATCGACATGCTATCAATTCCCCTTCAAAATTAAAGGCCCGCTGTGTGATTCTGCTGAATGCCACACTGTGAAAAGCCCCCGACATTTCCCCATCATTCAGGTGACGAGTTGCCATGGGAACCACTGACACAGACACATCCATCTTCACAAGACAAGATGGTTCATAGACGGGGTTGTGACCACTCGGGGTGTGGGGACACCTTGGCATATAAAGGGGAATCATACTGCTGGTATAGATAAAAAAGCCTTAGATTAACTACTTTTTGTTTATATTGTGTTGTTTCTTACTGTTACAGCCTGGCTAACAGTTGTTTTTATGCTGTTCTTAAACATGACTCATATGTCTTAACTGAGCAGAAGCTCTCCAATATTTCTATCTATAAATCCCTGAGTGATTAAAAATAGCCAGGACAGCTGTAGAAGCATGCTGGGTCGACAATGGTTGTATACCACAGGGAAGATGTACAATATAATGAGGTGTGGTGGGCGTACATGACTCTCTGTGTCTGGCTTACCATTGACGCAGAACTCATACGGTGTACAGAGCTCGTCTTCAAACAGACAACCTGGAGATGAGAGAAAAGAAAGAAATGAATACACAGCTCAATGTGTGACAATTCCTCACAAATTGGATTCAACACAGTTTTAATAAGTAAGACTCACAAGTTGAATTAAAAGTGCCAAGACAGACAACTTACTAAGCTATGGTTAGTAAGACATACAATTAATATGATTAGTAAATTCATGATTAGTCAGTAGACTAACTATTTTGGTAATCGATTAATTGCTTAAGCCATTTGTAAAGGAAAAAAATTATACCTTTGGTCATTTTTCATTGTCAGACATTTCATAGTCTAAACAATTAAAATACTAATTGAATACATCATTGACTGATTAAAGAAATAGTTTGACATTTTGGGAAGTGTGTTTACTGGCTTTCTTGATGAGTTGGATGAGAAGAATACCTATCCATTTAAAATGAGCCAGCAGCCAGTTAGCCACTGTTTGAAGGAAACATCTAGGTCCGTCCAAATGTAACAAAATCCACCTTCCTAGTTTTGTCACCCTCAGATAGATCAATGCTAGCTGTTTCCCCTCATTTCTAGTCAGTATGCTAAGATAAACTAACCAGATCTGGCTGTAGCTTTAAATTTACCACTGACATGAGTGGTATCAATCTTCTCATCTAACTCTCAGCAAGAAAATGAATAAAGTGTATAATGTGTGGAATGTACAACATCCTTTAATCTGTAAAGAAGATTAGCTGCAGTCTAATTTGACCAGATTAATCACTGTCAGTTTAAGATGGGAGAAGTCCCAACAACAAATACCTTGACATTGGATATAAATAGAGGCCATAAGCATATATAGTTAATATAATAGATGACTGAATGTACAGAAAATGTATTAAATTGCAGTACAAAATTAGCTCAATGTCACAATTTCTAAATATGTCACCGCTCTATAAAAGTACAGCTTAGTACTGCATTAATGGCCTTTCCACTAATGGCAGAGCCATCAATCATCAATTAGTGTGACTTCTTCTATCCTGTCTCTGACACTAATATCCCAACTCCATGGGCATCGTTTCCATATATGAATGTTGTATGAATATTAATGAACTTTAACGCCTGGACAAGGGCTGGGTGTTCCAGACTAATAAATGAACAGATGGCAGGAGCATTATGGGTAGCTGTTCCCTGTGTTCATATTTCACACGTGGGAGTTGCAGCGAGCAGAGAACTAATTGTTCTGCTCGCCGATCTGCACAGGTGATCTTCCACATTTACATGTTTCCAGGAAAAGAACAAGTTAAAAACTCCTCTTGAAGTGTTATTTTCTGTGTTGTAGGCTGAGCGGAGTGGCGCATTCAGGGTCAAAACAAGCCCAGACAATAACCAGACCAAGAAATGAAGCCACTTAGAACACATCATTTGGGTGTGTTCAAAAAGCTCTTGACAGGCTCATGCTATAAAATTTATGGCGTTTGCAGTGTTGGCAACACAGAAACAAACTGTAAACAACTAGGCCAAGCCTCGGCCCTCTTTCTTCAAGTCTTCTTTATATTTGTTATTTTCCTCCCTCAGCTCCTCAGTAGGAGTGACGTAACTGAACGCACCCTCTTGGCCCTGTGGCCTCGATGGACAGCAATGAGCAGCTCATAAGCATGAATAAAGAACAGGTTGAGTAGGAGAGGTCTCTGTCAGACCTCTTTAATAAAGAGAAGAGATAGGTACGTGACGTCTGTTACTCAATTCACACAGGAAGGAAAGATAATCGGGACAGGTGTGGATGAGACAGAAACTTTTCAGTTATCTCTTGTTCAAGGTTTGTTCAGGTTTCTGTGCAGATCCATCATTAGGGTCATTATTCTGTTATAATAATTAAAGTCTGTTCCTGCGTGAGAACTTGATTATACGGACACAATATGCAGCCATTTTGTTTGGAAGCTGAGGGCACATTTCCTGAAATTATACCTTTTGGAGATAATGGCTTCAATATGTCAGCAAAATGGCTATTTAATGATGTAGACTGAGGCATCATAACAGAGCTGTAAGGTCACTCAGTTCTCTGGCACGAAACTAAAAGGCAGAATGTTCTGAACTGAAGAGAAACAACTTACTGCTTCAAAACCAAGACCACAAATTGCTTTTCCAACAACTTGTACCTGACTATCATTTTGTACCCCATGCATCCCTCATTTCCATGGACAGGTTGAAGTACATTTTCCAGGTTTACCTTAATGCTAAAATGCTGCTGTTGGTGGAAGACTGCAGAAGATGTACTGAAGTATTTCCTGCCACAGCAGATAATAGATGTAGATATTTCTTTGAAGCATACATTTGAAGTGCTTTACAAAAGTGCAAAGCTCATTTAATCAACAATGACTGAAATGAGTATGTATAATATAAAAAATGTTGCTTATGACTCACAGAGAATGATCACCCAACTCTGCAGTTCAGCTCTACAGAGGATTTTAGCATCTTTTATCTAATTTTAATTGGTTATACAGCATATTTACTGTTTTCTGGTCTCATCGCGGCAGTTTCCAGATGCAGCAGGCAGCTGTTTTTAGCCCAAAAGCTCAAATAAACCTTCTATACAGCACCTGCCCAGCACTAAACAGCAGACAGACACAGTTAAGGACTAGTTGGTAAATAAAGCAGAGCATTTAGCTGCTAAGAGCCAGATATTTACAAAACAGATGTAAAAGGTACATCAAATGTTTGCTAAAGATGCTCTGTATGTGCTGAATGTGTTAATAGGTAAGTGCTACACATTTGGCTTGCCAACTTAATAAGATGATAATGTGTCAATATTGTGTTTACAGTTTGTTGTGCTGCCCTCAAGTGGCCAAAAAATGAATTAATGCAGGTTAAACGCAGCCTTACTGTAGTCTGCATGTGCAGCTGTATTACATAGGAAATAAATAAAGTGAGATGTGATAAAAACTAGAGTAATTACTAGACGAGTATAAAAGTACGTCAAAAAAGGTCAACCTTTGAATGAGCCCTTTGAAATTCCAATGAGAAAGGTTAATTAGAGCAGAAAACAGTTAGCTGATTAATTGATTAGTCGATCAACAGAAAATAAATCTGTAGCCATTTTAACCCTTTTTATTTATTCAGGGAAGTTTTACTGTGGGACGCGCTGATCACTTTCACAGAGTCACACCTGAAAGCTGCCCAGTACAACCACAATCTGATCTGCTGGCCACTGAGCAGCCCCACCGGAGCAGTTGGGTTTAAGAGCACCTCAGTGGTGGTAATGAGGAAGGGGAAAGCACTGCTTTTTCATTTTCCATCCATATTTATCCTGCTGGTTTGAACTGAAGACCTTCCAGTCACACACCACTGCCCAAGCGATTGATGAGGCATTTTCCAAGCAAAGGTGACTTAAATGAAGTAGTTCAAGCTTCTAAATCACAAGGATTTGCTGTTTTTCTTCATCATATATGCCAGTAATCTAAACTTATTTGTTTTGGACTAACCCAGTGAGCCCATCCAGTATTACATTCAGTCTTACTTTACCAAGAAGAACTTAGCTTCGAATCAGCTTGAAGATGAAAAACAAAATATAAAACCAAACTTGCACAGAGTAGCCACTTGGAGCTGGAAGAGCCACACAATTCCTCTTGATCAAGCATCTCACCGCTCCACAATTAGTGTCAGTCCATTCAACTTTACCTCCTCATCACTTTCCTACTTAATTCATTGGGTTCTCTGGGAGGCCTTGTCAGCTCTCAATATTAATTACGACCTTCCATTTAATGAAGCATCCAGCCAAGCATAGTTAGTCAGACATTGTGTGTGTGTGTGTGTGTGTGTGACTGTGTGCGCGTGCATGTGTGATAGGCAGGGACATAGGATTGATAACGCCACATCCTCTTTCTACAACACCATGCCAGAGATGATTAAAATGGCGGCTTTTAATTAAAATTCAATCACAGTGGATGCTGCTGATTACCTCAGGCGGAAAAAAAAAAGGATGCTAGACTGGTTGTGGCTGAGGAAGAAAGCTGGTGGGGGGGAAAAGTGTCCAGGCTATATCTTAATGAAGCATCCTGACAAGAATGGCCACATTGTCTCGTGTAATTCTAGGCGTACAAGACAATTTCACAAACAAAATGACCTTTCCAAAAAAGTGCTACACTTGCGGTTGAGTGATGATGCTCTGTTGCCATGTCAACCTCATCACAGATCAATCACAGAAGCTCATCAAAGGGAAACTTACTGTTAAGTCGAGTAAATACGCCTCAGCGGGATTTAATGGATCAACAGAGAGGTTTTGAGTGTGCTTTTTAGTGTCATCTTCAGTGTGTAATCTTTATGTTTTCTTGTGTTGTGATAAATGTTAAGCGTATATTTAAAATTGTACTAATATAATGAAGGAAATGTGTTTATCATTATAAAACACGAGGTTGTAGAATGAAGATTTGTTTGTTTTGCTACACACAGAAAAAAAAGATAATTAAATTTATAGTAGAATAACATGTAATAAATCCAAAAATACAGTTATTTATGTACATATATACATACATGTATACAACCAGGAAATAATTCTGCAGTTCATTTCTTCAAATTTGTTCTGTAAACACCAACAAACAACAATCACCCTTCGGCGAAATTCATTTGATTGGATGTGAACAAAGCCTGTAACAACACTATTCACACGTTCATCCACGCAAGGTGCCAACCTGCTCATCAGGACCAATACAGTGCTTCCTATCATGATACTAAGCTCTCTCTCTCTCTCTCTCACACACACACACACACACACACACACACACACACAGAGACTGCACAGCCATCAGGAGTAATTTGAGGTTCAGACACAGCTGCCCCAATTCGTCGATTAGTGATTTAATTGATTAGCTAATTGGCAGAAAATTAATTGACAACCGTTTTGATAGTTTTGGAGATGTACTGTAACTAACAATTACTTTCAATATTGATTCATCTAGGGCTAATTTTCTCAAATAATCATTTGGTCTATCAACAAAAGTATATCCATAATAAATGTCCCAGAGCTCATGATGCTGTCTTCAAATTGCTTTTGAAAACCAGCATTTGAGAAACTGAAACATTTTTGGCATTTTGTCTTTAAAAAGACAGATGATTGACAGTATTCTTGCTGATTGATTTTCTGTCTATTTATTTATCAATTAATATTTGTATAGCGCTACTGTCTAACTGTAGCAGCTCTAGATAGTTGACTAATTGCTTGGGTAATATATTTAGTAAGAAAAATGACAAAAACCTCTCTGGTTTCAGGTTTCAGTTTATCAATAGAAGAACCGCCAGCTTAATCAATAAATAAATAATAAGA